GATGTAGCCTCTGACTTCTCCGAAAAGATAAACTTCAAACTCCTCTATTTACAGGAACAGGACCCTTAATATAAAACAAGCAAAAGAAGATGGCCCCAATAAAAAAAAATTATAACATGAATATTGAAACAAATTTTCCATCTCAGTTTCTTTTAATATCTCTGACAAGGTTTTGGCAATAAATCTGCCAATACTGAAAACACTTTCCATATAATATCTCTTAATGGTTCACAGTGAACAAGATAATGCTTATGAAAATGGATTAATATACAACTGAAGAATGAATTTTAATTCCAATCTGCAAATAAGCGGTTCAAAATAGGTTAATGAAAATATGCATTATATATAAAACTGCCACATACAATTTTATAGCTCTGCTGAAATTGTATAAACTGTTAAACCACAATGACAAAATTAATTGCCTTCAACATTTTAGACCCAATTTTAAAAAACAGAACTCAAAAAGAAAGGCTACTTACCTTACAGTAAGTGGAGTCCTTTGAGATGCGTAGTCCCTATGCATATTCCGCTCAAGGTATGCATGTGCTCTGCTCACCTGAGCCCAGGAGATGTTTCCATTAGCAGTGTCTGTTTTTCTGTGCCTTTGCTTCAAGGGCTTGGGGATGTCATGGACTGACTGACTTTCTAGTTCCTTTTCTACTACCAGTTACCTCAGGAAAGGATCCAAATCAAAGGAGAAGAAGGGAAAGTAACAGACTACATATAGGAACCACACATCTCAAATTACTCTTTACCATAAACCTTTCTTCTTGAGTGGCAGTCCCAGTATATATTCTACTCAAGCAGTACCCCTGAAGAGGAGGGTACAAGACACTGTGCCAACTACTGCAGTACTGCTGTGCCAAATGATACAACTGAAAAAGAGGCTTGTACCATTGTGTTATGTCTGTTAATTGTATGCACAAAAGTCCATGTTGCTGCTGTATAGATCTCCAGAAGGGAACACTTTGAAGATAAACCACTCAAATAGCCTGGGCTCTGGTAGAGTGCACACACAAACTTTGAGGGGGAGGTGTATAGTTTAGCTCAAAGCACAGCAGGATGAAACCTAAAATCCATTTAGAAAGCCTCTGAGGGGACTGCTTCTCCTTTCTTCACTCAAGAACAGAAACAAAGAGTCCCAGGGATTTCCTGAAGAGTTTTGTCCTTTGCAGTTAAAAGCCAAGGCTTGATGGACATTTGGACAATAGAGTTCCTGTCTTTTCTGAATTGGTGAGGTTTTGGATAGAAAAGAAGAAGTTACTCACCCTGTGTAGTAACGATGGTTCTTCGAGATGTGTCCCCGTGGGTGCTCCACTCCAGGTGTCGGGTCCCGTCCCGGCGCCGCTGATCGGAAGTTTTCCATAGCCGTAGTTGGGCCGGACCGCGCATGCGCGAGCGGAGCGCGCGGCGTTCGCGCCTTTGCAACGGTCCGGCCCCCCCCTTGTCAGTTCCTCTCACCGCTCGGTCCCTGAAAGACAAAGCAGAGAGACCCGGAGCGGGGAGGAGGGTGGGGCGTGGAGCACCCACGGGGACACATCTCGAAGAACCATCGTTACTACACAGGGTGAGTAACTTCTTCTTTTCTATCCAAAACCTCACCAATTCAGAAAAGACAGGAACTCTATTGTCCAAATGTCCATCAAGCCTTGGCTTTTAACTGCAAAGGACAAAACTCTTCAGGAAATCCCTGGGACTCTTTGTTTCTGTTCTTGAGTGAAGAAAGGAGAAGCAGTCCCCTCAGAGGCTTTCTAAATGGATTTTAGGTTTCATCCTGCTGTGCTTTGAGCTAAACTATACACCTCCCCCTCAAAGTTTGTGTGTGCACTCTACCAGAGCCCAGGCTATTTGAGTGGTTTATCTTCAAAGTGTTCCCTTCTGGAGATCTATACAGCAGCAACATGGACTTTTGTGCATACAATTAACAGACATAACACAATGGTACAAGCCTCTTTTTCAGTTGTATCATTTGGCACAGCAGTACTGCAGTAGTTGGCACAGTGTCTTGTACCCTCCTCTTCAGGGGTACTGCTTGAGTAGAATATATACTGGGACTGCCACTCAAGAAGAAAGGTTTATGGTAAAGAGTAATTTGAGATGTGTGGTTCCTATATGTAGTCTGTTACTTTCCCTTCTTCTCCTTTGATTTGGATCCTTTCCTGAGGTAACTGGTAGTAGAAAAGGAACTAGAAAGTCAGTCAGTCCATGACATCCCCAAGCCCTTGAAGCAAAGGCACAGAAAAACAGACACTGCTAATGGAAACATCTCCTGGGCTCAGGTGAGCAGAGCACATGCATACCTTGAGCGGAATATGCATAGGGACTACGCATCTCAAAGGACTCCACTTACTGTAAGGTAAGTAGCCTTTCTTTTTGAGTTCTGTTTTTTAAAATTGGGTCTAAAATGTTGAAGGCAATTAATTTTGTCATTGTGGTTTAACAGTTTATACAATTTCAGCAGAGCTATAAAATTGTATGTGGCAGTTTTATATATAATGCATATTTTCATTAACCTATTTTGAACCGCTTATTTGCAGATTGGAATTAAAATTCATTCTTCAGTTGTATATTAATCCATTTTCATAAGCATTATCTTGTTCACTGTGAACCATTAAGAGATATTATATGGAAAGTGTTTTCAGTATTGGCAGATTTATTGCCAAAACCTTGTCAGAGATATTAAAAGAAACTGAGATGGAAAATTTGTTTCAATATTCATGTTATAATTTTTTTTTATTGGGGCCATCTTCTTTTGCTTGTTTTATATTAAGGGTCCTGTTCCTGTAAATAGAGGAGTTTGAAGTTTATCTTTTCGGAGAAGTCAGAGGCTACATCTACATTACAATAGAGTCAACTTAAGCTACAAACATAGCTGGAGTTGATGTACCTTTTATTTGAGTTACTGTGGGCTCTACACTGGGGGGGAAGGGGTTGATGGGAGAAGCTCTACTATTGACTTCCATACTCTTCTCATCAGGGTGTAGTAACGTTGACAGGAGACCAATCTGTGGTTGATTAGGCGGGTCTTAACTAGACCTGCTAAATTGATCGCCATGAATCGATCTCCAAGTGCCAATTTGGTATGTAGATGTAGCTAGAGAGAGACTTTATGCTTTGATCTCTGGAAAAGCCAGACTAGTGAAACCTTTCTCAGTCTGTGTAGATGAGGCTTTATTAAATAAGCATGTTGCAAATGTTGCTATTTTAATAGTATTTTAATTTTTATAATTAGGACTTATTTTGAAAGAGTCATTAGTGTTTCCACAATTGTAGTACTGAATTTTCCAGTTAAAGCATTGTTTCAATCCCTTTTGTTTGAATCAATCCTCTTTCTATAGAGGAGAAGGTATTACTGCCTCCCTAGATAGATCCCACTGATTTCCCTGCAATAGGGTTGCGAGGTGTCTGGTTTTTGACTAGAACACCCTGTTCAAAAGGGACTCAGGCAGCTCTGGTCACCACTTCTGACTGGGCTATTAAAAATCCAATTGATGGCGCAGCAGGGCTGGCAGGCTCCCTGCCCGGATCTGCGTGGCTTCTCATGTCCAGCTTCTAGGTGGAGGGGCAGCCCTGGGAGCTCTGTGTGCTGTCCCCACTCAGGGAGCTGCAGAGGTGATGCCTGCAGGAGGCAGAGCAACATAGATTTATCGAATACTAGAACTGGAGGGACCTTGAGAGATCATCAAGCCCAGTCCCCTGCCCTCATGGCAGGTCCAAGCACCACGTAGAGTATCCCTGACAGGTGTCTATCCAACCTGCTCTTAAATATCTCCAGTGATGGAGATTCCTCAACCTCCCTAGGTAATTTATTCCAGTGTTTAACCACCCTGACAGGTAGGAAGTTTTTCCTAATGTCCATCCTAAATCTCCCTTGCTGCAGTTTAAGCCCATTGCTTCTTGTCCTATCCTCAGAGGCCAAGGAGAACAATTTTTCTCCCTCCTTTTTGTAACACCCTTTTGGGTATGTCTACACTGCAAAGTTAATTTGAAATAACAGCCATTATTTCGAATTAACTTCAATAGCGTCTATACATGCAAACCACTATTTCGAATTTAATTTGAAATAGCAGAGCGCTTATTTCGAATTTGGTAAACCTCATTCTACGAGGAGTAACGCCAAATTTTAAATAGCTATTTCCAATTAAGTGCTGTGTAGACACTTAATTCAAAATAGGGGGCCTCCAGCCCTTCCCAGGGAGCCTTGGTGGCCACTCTTGGCACAACCAGGCAAACTCATCTGCTGCCCTGCCCCCCCTTCCTCCCACCCAACCCAGAGCCCTTACGGGGCAGACTCTGGCCACAGTGCCTGTGCCAGCTGCAAGCCTGCCAGACCACCCAGCCAGCAGACTGTGCACCTGGCACAGCATGAGCCAGCAACCCGCTGCTACCCAACCCTACACCGTTCCCCAGGACTAGGCTGGCAGCTCTCAGGAGCCTGCCAAGGGCTGCAAAAGGTGGGCACCTGCCCGGCCTAGTGTGGAGATCATGGCCCTCATTGAGGTTTGGGGGGAGCCCTCCAATGCCCATGATCTCCGCACGAGGTGCAGGAA